GTGTCCAGGCCCTGATATAATTATGTATTATCTATGGAAAAAAGTAATACAACAAATTTCATTACTTGCCGCCAAATTTTAATATTTAAAATATTTTTATAACTCAAATGTCTTTGATTCATTAATTTATTCAAATTGATGATGTTTAATAATGTTATTAGTTATTAGTTATTAGTTATTACATACTTGATATTTTCAGGAGGATAGTTAAATCTTTTTAATTGTTCTGTGGCTTAATGTTTCACCCACCTTGCAGCACCAATATATGTAATTACCTGTTGTAGACGTTGTAGTTAATAATAAATTATCACCTATGGGTTATTGCCTATTATCCACCAGTCCATAAAAACTCAGGGGCGTCTACCTTTTAGATACTCCTTTTGAAATACATACAATTACAATAATTACACAAATTATGAGTGGGTGGTTCAATGTGTTTTTTTTTGTTTATTCCAAGCCAAACTGATATATTTTTCATCCATGATAATTTTTATTAACCTTTTTTATTTATTGTTTGGTTCATGATAAAATAACCAGCTGGTATGTCAGCAACCTTAATGTGTGGCGCACAAGAATAGATTACGGTCGGTGTGCGCCTGTTATCAGTTGTCATAAAATAGTAAAATACCTTAGATCATAATATATGTATATTGTATAATAATGATTTGGTTTTTTATTTGTTTCAAACGTGAAACGATTTAGTGTCTGTCGTCTGATTAAAAATGGTATTAAGAATATTGCGATATTTCATGAATCACCAACAATTGGTTGATAAATTGGCGGAATCGAATTTTATGAAAAGAATTACGTGGTTCGTTGTTCATAAGCCAATTCATGCGAAATCATTGACGGAAGATATGAAATCTGAACAGTTAGATAAGACGCTGAAAAACATTGCCGAAAAACTTAARGACACCAAAAACAAGCTTGACGGTAAACAGTGAATAAATTAAAATTCACACAATTAATGATTAAATCATTGTAGACTGTTTTTGTAAATTGTTATAAATTGTAATAAAAAATATAAAAAATAAATTRTAAACCATCTACCTATTACGGAATCTATCAATTTAAGTTGTACCATGAAAGATCATTCAATAATATTTGTGGGGACGGAGCCCTCAAAAGACAAAGATTCAGTGACACGCACCTTATCGTATTTCACAATGCCTGCCAATGATCTGCCGAAACGGATATTGCTTTCGTTCACGCCACCACTTCATTCTAGATTTGTGTACGTAGACTTCTTGGGACCGTGTTTGGCGTTCATACTGTTGGCCACGATACTTGGCTACGGACATGCCTACAAAGCACCATCGGCTATTTATCACAGGTCACCCACCGAAGTGTTGGCCGTCTAYTGCCTATCGATGCCAGCAATTTGTTATATTTTAACCCGTTTAGGAAAATCTAGTATATCATTTTTGCAGATATTGTCATTATTAGGGTATGGTCTTTATGGTTATGTATTAACTCTTGTTATTAGTTTTATATCGGATGAAACAAATAATGTAATATTTTATCTGGCCATGATACTGTTTACTGGCACTAGCGTTTTTAGAACATGTCTTATAATATTGCTAACAATTAAATTACCTGCCATCAGACTATTAGTTTGCAGTATCATTGCTATTTTACAAATGTTGTTTGTTGTGTTTTTGTATTTTACATTTGTTCATTCAAGCTTTGTGTTCCGCAAACATTAGACATTTAAAAATTAGTTTGTTGATTAAAATATCTAAACAATAAATAAATGAATGTGCACATTACAGTTATTTTATTTTATTTGCTATCATAAATATAAGAACCAATGTAACTGTTATAGATGCAATTATTCTACCAAATATTATAAATGTTTTCATCACATTATTAATAGTGTCAATATTATTTTTCACTGTTGTAACACCATAAATACAAATAATCTTTTGCATTTTCATTGATATACATAAGTAAAAGTAATCATCTTGTAAAGACTTTGGAAATATTGTTATTTGAGATGCATATCTGTTAGTTGTAATAATACAATTTTGAGATCTGTAATTGTAGGTTAAATATTGATTTTGTTTCTAAACATATTTTGTCTAGTCAAAAGTTAGTAAAATTTGGTTTTTTAATATGTTATTAATTATAATTAATATAATATYTGTAAAACTAAAATTGGCTCTTGCGTAMTCWATACTCATGGTATATAGTATATACCAAGGATGGCCACAACGAGGGTCGCGATCTGCATGCGGCTTCTCAAAAGTGAATCATAATTGAACAATAATGCTCTGTGTAGTGTAAAAAATTAATGTTCCTTTATTTGCTATAACATTAAAAATGTGTTTTCATTTTACAAACAAATCTATCTATATTAACAATGTGGTTCACTTTGTAATAGCTTCATA